ATGCATCACCTACCATATCATGAACCCTATCACAATCTACCATTTGTTCCTCTTGGTGATGATAGCTATAACTACTGCTACCTTCATTACGCAAATGATCAACCGGTTCAACCTGATTANCAATCTACCATTTGTTCCTCTTGGTGATGATAGCTATAACTACTGCTACCTTCATTACGCAAATGATCAACCGGTTCAACCTGATTACTACTGCTACCTTCATTCCTACAACTAGCATCTTCTCCATGTTGATACCAAATATAATAATATGGCATGAAACCTCTATTTACTAAATGCTTCCAAACATTTTCATGAGGGCTTAATTTGGTATTGCAACATTTCGGACAAGGACAGAACATCTTACCACTTTCCTGCGTGAGTGGTGTAGAATCTGCTTGATGCATAAACGTCTCCAACCCTTCGAGAAATTCTTTCGTCACCCTCCCGTTATTATCTCTGTGTGAATACATCCACTTCCGCAACTCGAAAATACTTCCCGGACCGGATATTTTTTTTTTGTTTGATCAAGCTTATAGCTGATATTTTTTTGGTGTGTTTCAAATGAATCACATATGGTGGTATTTATAGAAATTTTCGAATCTGAGCATTTACTAGGAAATTGCTAGGAAAAGTAGGTACAAAATACGTTTTTGATTAATATTCGATATTTTCTATCCATTTCCTCTTAATTTCGTAGTAACAAATCTTTTCCTCCTAATTTCGTAGTAAACAATTAGTAGGACTTTACGAGGAAAAGTTTTACTATGCCTTTACGAGGAAAATGTTATTTTCCTCGTAAGGGCCTCGTAAGTTTACTTCGAGTTTACGAGGAAACTCTTTTCTCGTAAGTTTACGAGAACTTTACGAGGAAAGGAGGTTTCCTCGTAAACTCGAAGTAAATTCGTAGTATTTTTACGAGGAAAGATTTTCCTAGTAAACTTTCCTAGTAACACCTTAGTTTTCTTGTAGTGATTATGTTAATTTCAGAGTTAATTACATATGTCATATTTTGTTAACCAGATTTTAAAAAAAAAAAGCCGAAGGAGTTAAGATTCTGTTCACTTTGTTTTGTGGTTGAAATAAATTACCAAATATTTTTTTCTAACTAATTCAAACCGGTTAACTATGAAATTTCTAAACTACAATGAATGATGGATAATATTATATGAATCTATCACATCTGAAATTTATTAGATTATATGATCACATTCAGTTCCAAAATATTATAATCTCCACAAAATATGGTAACATCTGTGTTAATAAATAATTAAAATTGGTAATTAAAAATTAAGGAATGGTATTTCATTGTAAAAAAAATCAAAAATCAATGCCAGAATCCTAATAGAGATTATGCTTTAATAGTATAGATAGATTTTGATATGCACTTTGAAACCACGGATAATTTTTACTTTCCAAATTTCATACAAATTTCTTTTTAGTAGTATAAACTAGCTTTTGATCCGCGCGTCCGCGCGAATTTATATTCTAGTATATATATATATATATATATTTATATTAGTTGTAAAAAGCATTCATATTTATGTTTCATAGGTTATTGAGTATGATGTTGGTGTATCTTGTTCATTTTGTTTAGCATCTTTTTTCTAGCTATCAAGTTGTAATAATTTTTTGATATACACTTTTTTTATTTGGTAAACTAAACAACTAAGTGTACAATATTAGAGTATTTTTTTAAGATTGTTTGTATTTATTAAATTACACTAAAAGTTTTGTGATTGCAATTATAATTTAAAATTATATTTATTTTTATTTTTTTAAAATAAATTATTTAGAAAGCAAAAAACAAATCCAAAAAATAAGAGCGTTAGCAACTTTATTAACAAATGTCATTTTGTTAAAATTGAATTGGGCTGTTTGGTTTTGGGCAATTTTGTTTAGATTTAAAATTATTGAACTTTAAACCTATATTAAAGCCCATATAAGAGCAAAACTACAGTGTTTTAATTGCAGTGGCATTCTATTGAAATTTTTGAGAAAAACTAAGGGTTATTTCTATTTTGTAATTTCCCTTTAATACTTTAGATTTACAAATTCATTTTTCCTCATATAATTCTAATATATATCCAAAAATCAAATTATATTTTAAAATAACTTTTAAGTTGGTGACTAATGTCATCATCATCTGCAGTATACCATATCATTATCATATTTATTTTACATAATTTAACTATATATACATATATACATATATATATATATATATATATATATATATAAATGCAAACAGATTTGAAAAAATAATCAATGTTGTTTTATTTCTTGATAATAAAAATAATAATATTTTCCATTTCACTGTCATATATTTAAAATAATTTATTAAAATAATATAGTAAAAAGTAAAATTTACTTATACTAATATGCTTACTTTCTAATATTTTTAAGTTTACAAAATTCTTATTTAAAAGAATAAATCTGATTAAATAAACATTATATAACCCAAAAGTATAATAGAAACACTTTAGACTGTTATATATAAATAGTTTATTAGAAATGAATTCAGAATATATAATTAAAAATAGATAATATATAATAATTTAATTGTATATATAATAAAGTGTAAGAATTATACTTTGCTAATTGGTAAGTGCCATTTATTTTAAAACTTATAGCAACAAAATTAAGTGATTTAATATTTAAACTCAAGCAAACATTTATAATTCGGAATAGTAATGATCATTATTAAATTTTTATGTAATCTACATAATTTAAATATATTTTCAGTTAAAATGATAAAATTACGTACTAATTAATTAATTATTATTTATAATTTCACCAAACTCATTGACCAATTTTTAAACGGTAATTCTAATTATTACTATAATTAATCTCTTAAAATAAATCAAATTAATAATCTTCTGTAATTTTTTTTAATAATTAATAAGTTTAAAATTTTCCAAATAAGTAGTTAACTAAATAGATAAACTTTTAAGATAAAAACATAAAAATTAATTTTACTTTTAGTTAAGTGGGTTCAAGTGGTTTGATGTGATTTTACCGTATATTAAAAAGCTTAAACTTTTTTTTCGGATATTTGGGTACCGGTTCGATTCCGATTCCGGTTCAGTTTTTGGATATAGAAATATAGGAATCATTCAGCTATTTGAGGATTTTGGTCCAGTTTCGGTTTCGGATACTTCGGTTTGATTCCGGATCCGTTTTTTTTTTGCCCACGGCTAAGCTAATCTAGTCGGTCTTGGGAGAACACATTTAATGTTATAAAGTAGACTAACCCGAAAGAGTAACGAGGAAATTCCTCTCATACCCCTAAATCTCATTCTCTAATCTCTCTAGGACACATTTCTTCTTTTAATTTTATATGTCAAACGAAAAAAATAAAATTAAACTTAAAATGTGAATATTTTTTATTTGATTTATAGAATTTGATAAAAATATTTCAAAAATCAAAAAACTTTTTTTCTTATTTTCACGAAAAATCCTCAAAATATGATTAAAAACGATTTTAAAATATTTTTTTCGAATTTGAAAGCTATAGAATTTAAATATTTACCCATGGGTTCACTCATCCATTGGGAGGGGGGGTTGTTTAGTTTTGAACACCGGAGAGGATTTAATTTGGGGGTTTAGGGTTTGATCAAAAATAGAATTATGAAATAGGGGTATAAGAGATCACGCGAGTCCATAGGAGATTACCTCTAAAAAAATAGGGATACAGGAGAAGTTGACTTAAGTGTAACACACTGTCTGATCCGAGTTTGAATATCTTCTAACTAATGGATCGATCATTTGTTACGGCTCACCACGTATATCATCTAAGCCGAAGTCTAACTTATACTGGCTAAATAATGATAATTAGTTTTTAGTGAGAATCGGATGAGACAATTCCTCTCATACCCCTAAATCTCATTCTCTAATCTCTCTAGGACACATTTCTTCTTTTAATTTTATATGTCAAACGAAAAAACATAAAATTAAACTTGAAACGTGAATATTTTTTGTTTGATTTATAGAATTCGATAAAAATATTTCAAATATCAAAAAACGTTTTTTCATATTTTCACGAAAATCATCAAAATATGATTAAAAACGATTTTAAAATATTTTTTTCGAATTTGAAAGCTATAGAATTTAAATATTTGCTCATGGGTTCACTCATCCATTGGGGAGGATTTTTGTTTAGTTTTGAATACTGGGAAGATTTAATTTGGTAGTTTAGATTTTGATCAAAAAAAAATTATGAAATAGGGGTATAAGAGATCACGCGAGCTCATAGGACCCAGAACTAAAAGTAGATACATATTAGGCCTTATGAGATTACCATTAAGCTACTAGCATTTGGTTATGTTTCACATACTCGATGATTAGTACCTCCAAACATTTTTTTGCCAAATGCATCATGTATTTGAAACTGAATCGTCTCATTATTATTATTTTTTTTTGCCAAAATGCATCATGTAATTGAAACTGAATCCTCTCATTAAAATTTTATTTTATTAATACATACCTGCAAAATCAGCATCTATATTATTACATTAATACGTACCTCAAAATCAGCATTTCAGAAGTTTCATCTAAAACTAAACTGAAATTTTGTTGATTTTTTTTTCTTTTTTTGTAACGTACCATCTTATTAAAACCAGAATTAACGGGTCAATTTCTACATACCATATTCGAAGTAAGATAAATCTCAAATACATAATAATTTTCGAGTCTTGTTGATTAACGCTGATTCTTTCAACATTTTTGAAACTAAGGTTATAAAAAGTAACGTAATATATAATTTGACATTTTCATAAATGTTGTCCATATCTGGATAAGAACCTAACCCAAATTAAGGTGTTTACGTTAGAGTCTATACGAGATTGCAGCCGTATTTGAAACTAAAGAACATCTTGCTGTTTTCTCCCACAACATGCCGTTTAGTAGTTTTTTTCTTTTACCCTAAAAATGCTACTACATGCCTATTTAAGGCTGTTCGATTTCCAAAAGACCGATCATTTTGAGTTGAAACGTCCGCAACAATGTCTAACTCCAACGCCATAGAGCCACCGGAAAAACTCTCTACACATCCTCCTCCACCGCCGTCGCTTTCTTCATTGCCTGATGAAATCGTTTTGAGTTGCTTGGCCCGCATCCCAAGAAGCCATCACCTAAACATCTCTTGGGTCTCAAGAAACTTAAGATCCCTTGTTCGCTCGCCTCAGCTCAACCTCTTGGTGGATCGCACTCTCCACAAGAACTCCCTCCACGTATGTTTGGAAAAAGATGATCACTCATCCTTCCACTGGTTAACTCTCAAGGAAACATCAACGAAAGAGTATGGGTTAGTTCCGAACCCAACTCCCTTCCCTTCTCATCCTAACTACGATTCTTCAACTGTCACAGTGGGGTCAAAGATCTTCTGCATTGGTGGACCTAGAGGAGAACCTTCAACGGATCTATGGATCCTTGATACAAAATCCGGGACCATCACTCAAGGACCAAGCATGACTGTGCCTCGAGATGAGCACAAAGCAGCTGTGGGAGTGATCGACGGGAAGATATACGTTATCGGAGGCCAACCCTTAAACTTCTCCGACGACGGAAACATTCATGAAGAGGAAGAGATCCTAGTTGAAGTTTTCGATCCAAAGTCGGAGACTTGGGAACTTGCGGGGACTGAGAACGTTCGTAGGAGTTTACGGTGTAGTGCCTCGGTGGAGGGGAAGGTTTATATGGTGGAGTACAAGAAGACAGGTGTGTACAATCCGAGAGAAGGTGAAGGAGAACGGTTAGTTCATATGGTAAGCGAGAGACTCTCGGACGGTGGAAGCAAGGATAAGTTAAAGGATATGGTGTATTGCGTGTGTGTGGTGGAGGATGTTCTCTTTGCTTTCTTTAACCGGACTGGGTTGATGTGGTTTGATACACAGCTTAACGTGTGGAGAAGTTTGGTGGGTCGTGATGGGAAGGAACTACCCCTTGTCCCATGTGTGGATGGGATGGCGGAATACGAAGGAAGGCTTGTGGTTATGTATACAGACTTTGACGGATCAAATAGTGTTCAGTGTATGTTTGTCTCACTGGACAGAGCTAGAGGAAAGATTTGTGGGACTATCGATTGGTCTGGTATTTTGGCTACACTTCCATATTCCTTTCGTTTTCTTCATTGTTTAGCTGTTTCCGAGTGATTGATCATAGTATGTGTTTCAAAACCCATGAGTGGTTTATTGAAGAAAATGAAAGGACGTTTCTTTTTTTGTTCGTAGTATTGTTTGCATCGTTATTCAAGTTGAGATTAATCTCAAGTTCTTTTTTTTTTTTTCTCTAGTTCTAAACTGAACTTTACATCATTGACACACATGAAGGAAGATAATGACACACATTAACAAAGTTACAAAAGTCCCCACACTCACGGAGTAGTTCAAACCATCCAAAACTAGGTAGATTCTTCCTTCGTTATCATTTTTTTTTTGCTCTCATCGGATATTTTGTGGAATGAAGACGGGAATGCAACAATCAGGTAGCTATCTAAACAGTCAACCCGATCCGGACCCATTACGATCCGAGCAGTACATGTTTTTATAGGTATTTTAATTTTAATTAGTCCCTAACCGAAAGGAACTGACCGAAATTTTTAAGTACCAAACTGGGTCTAAATGTTTAGAACGCAAAAGACTTGAATCCAAAAAAAGATAAAATGAAGTGTGTATTAGTAGATACACTTCCATGCTCTGTTCATAATCTCGTCTTCTACAAATGGACGCAATGACCACATCATAGTGGAAGTATCTAGTTCATCAAATGATGTCTTCAAACTAAGCGATCTCACAATCTTTTCCTGCAAAACAGTATCATCATCCATTTCTCTGCAGTACGCTTTTTGAAAGTTCAGAGATCCAACATGCAGAGTATCTGAACTCTAAAGGTTAAAAATCTCACACACCTGCATAACATAGTTCTGCTTCACCATACTGTAAACCACTGCAATAACTGTAGTGTACTCTGTAACTTCAAGTTCTTGAGGAAAAGGTATAGTCTCATTCTCCTGAAACCAAACACATCCAAACAACATTACTCTTCTCTGAAACCATTTTTTTTCCAGATATATACAAGTGAGTTACACGAGAAACAAATTTCTGTTGAAATCTTACCTCATCACATGTTAACTCATCACCTGATTCTTCCTCTAGATGTGTTGTTGCAGTCTCCATTGCAAGGGCTGCCTCATCTGTGAGACGCTCAAGCTCAGATAACAAGCTTTGAGCTGCAATTTCCACATCGTAAAAATTAGAAGAGGCATGGAAACATTAACCAATGGAAAACAAGCAAAAAACTGGTGATAAATTACTAATTTACTACCTTTGATCAGATGGTCAGAAAGTCCTGATAGACAAGTATGCACTTCTTATTACAGTTTTGGTGAACAAAAAAATGGAGAAATGTGTATCAGTGAAAACGGAAACTTTCACATAAAGTGGCGAACTCTGAGAGTGGAATCAAAAGAGTTAATTCAGTAACTTACAAGCCTCTGTGCTTTTTGCAGCATCATCCATGTTAATACAGCCAGATTCTACATATGATTTAAGCCGGCTTGTTTCGTTGTTTCTGATAAGGTTCTTGATCAAATTGGACGAAGTGACCATTGGAGAGCGTTTGAGCAAGCCTGGGGATAAGAAACAGTGTCAGAGAAGGGTGGTAAAACCGAAGACAATACAAAGCAAAAAACGTACGTACAGAGTCCTTGCTGAAACCGAAGAAGAAAGGTGTTTGCAGCATTATCTAGTTCCTCAAGTTTTGTGATCCTATAATTGTTGCAATAGCCAAGATTCAGAGGGACTAAAACATAACATAACTGAAAGCATATAAATGTAAGAGAATTAATCATTTAAAACAAACTTACCTTGTCATAAACTCTTTGAAAATATAGTAAACTTTTAGCTTCAGTTGGCTTCTGGCCTCCATCTCTTTGTCTTTAATACTACAAGAAGGAGCTTCGACAAACTAAAAAATGTTTCTGAGCTAAACGACAGACTTTTGAGAAGCAAAAGACAAAGACAAGAGAAGAAACATGGATAAATCACAAACCAGTGTTCTTGTTTTCAAGTAGACGGCAGACGAAGCTTGGGATTAATGGTGTCTAATTGGGCTTAGGTTTACTATAAATGTTAGAGTAATGGGCTTACACATTGTTCATGAGACTAATTTACGAAAACTCAAAAAAAAAAAAAAAAATCCCGAAAAAACCCAAAAACACGGATCATCTCCCTCCCAAAACCCAAACTATCCACATTCAATCCACATACATTTCGTAAAATTTCAATTTCAAAGGAAAAATCACTTCCCTTCCATCAACCATGGCTGATGAACTTCCATCACTCACCCCTTACATCCACTCCCAAACCCTAACTTCCCACGACCACCCCATCTCCTCCGTTAAATTCTCCCCCAACGGCCACCTCCTCGCCTCATCCTCCTCCGACAAAACAATCCGCACCTACACCATCACCCCCAACGAAACCCCCATCGCCAAACCCCTACACACACTCACCGGCCACCAAAACGGAATCTCCGACATCGCCTTCTCCTCAGACTCGAGATTCATCGTCTCTGCTTCCGACGACAAAACCCTAAAGCTCTGGGACGTCGAGACCGGCTCCCTCATCAAGACCCTTCACGGACACACCAGCTTCGCCTTCTGCGTCAACTTCAACCCTCAATCCAACATGATCGTCTCCGGCTCGTTCGACGAGACCGTTCGGATCTGGGATGTGAAGACGGGTAAGTGCTTGAAAGTTCTTCCCGCGCATTCCGATCCAATCACGGCGGTGGATTTTAATCGTGATGGGTCGATGATTGTTTCGAGTAGTTATGATGGGTTGTGTCGGGTTTGGGATTCTGGGACTGGGCATTGTGTGAAGACGTTGATTGATGATGAGAATCCTCCTGTCTCGTTTGTTAGATTCTCTCCCAACGGCAAGTTTATCCTTGTTGGCACTCTCGATAACACCTTGGTGAGTTTCTTATTTTTTAAGGTTGTTCTTATGCAATGAAAAGACAAAAATTTGATAGCTTTAGTTTAGTTCTGTACTTTGATCATGATTTGAAGGGTGGGTTGTAGCTTTTAAGAGACTTGATGTTCTTCGCTATGTGATTACATGTTTTGCTCTAAAGTGATGTCGATAAAAGCATTTAGATTGATGTAGGAGAAACCATCCAAAACTAGGTTTGAGACATTGTTTAAGGTTATTCTTAAGCAATTAAAAGACAAAGCTGATAGTATTAGTTTTGTTCTGTAATTGATCAAGATTTAAAGAGAATTAAAGAGTGGTCGTAGCTTCAGTTTAAGGTTATTTCAATGCGATTAAAAAAGCTGATAGCTTTTAGTATAGTTCTGTTATTGATCAAGATTCTCGAAGAGTATTTAAGAATGATTCGTATCTTAGTTCTTAGAGAGCCGTAGCTTTGATGATACATCTTTTATTGTTTCGTATGAGGTTATTCTTATGCAGTGACAACACAAAGCTGATAGCTTTAGTTTAGTTCTGTTATTGATCATGATTTGAAGAATATTAAAGAGTGGTCGTAGTTTGGAAGATTCATCTTTTGGTGTTTGGTTTGTTTGCATTCAATAGGACACTGGAGAAGATGTTAGTTCTCATCATGAGCTCATAATTCTCGTTATTGATAGCTGTTAGAACATTAGGGTATGCAACAGTGTCTTGGGTTTAAGGTTATTTCAATGTAATGAAGATAAAGCTGATAGCTTTAGTATAGTATAGTTCTGTTATTGATCTAGATTTGAGGTGTATTGACGAATGGTCTTATGACTCGTGTCTTAGTTATTAGGGAATCTCGTAGCTTGGAAGATACATCTCTATTGGTGATTTGATTTGTTTGTGTTCATTAGGATACTGGAGAAGATATTAATTCTCATGAGCTTCATGATTCGTTGTATTCTCAAATTTTGCAGAGGTTATGGAACGTTTCTTCTAGTAAATTCGTTAAAACATACACTGGTCACACTAACTCTCAGTACGCCGTTTCCTCTGCGTTCTCCGTCACTAATGGAAGGCGAATAGTCAGTGGATCCGAGGACAAGTGTGTGTACATGTGGGAGCTGAACTCTAGGACGTTGCTTCAGAAACTTGAGGGTCATACTGAGCCTGTCATGAGCGTGGCTTGCCACCCGACGGAGAACTTAATCGCATCAGGCTCGCTCGACAAGTCTATAAGACTTTGGACACAGAAGATATAATGAAACAGAGATAGACTCGTGAAAATCAACCCATGTTAACATACCTTCCTCTTCATGTTAGCAACCATCCAATGCTTAGTTTCTTAGTCAAGTCTAGTCTCTTAGATTTGATTCTATTCTACTGTATATACGAATATAAGTAGATTATATATGGCCTTCGTACGTTGCTCGTCACATGTGAACTTTACCGCTGCTATCTCCATGTGACCCTGTTCCGTGATACCGAGCTACGGGAAACCTTTCGTGGTGCTCAGTTTTAAGCCCGATCCAAACTAGTAATGGGCTTCGATAGGCCCATATTATATTTAATTAGCGGATCATTTCAAACGCATCAAATACACGTTGTATTTTAGTGTTACGTAAGTAGTTGGTGAATAGACTTTTTCGGTCTTTTGTTTATAAAAATCTTTTTCCCTGTTACTTTCATATTGAGTTTCGATCCTTTTTCGTGTTTTCACAAATTTCATAAGAAACATATTTCCTATAGAGTAGATTGGTTCAACTTTTCATTTTCATTAAAAATGAATTCAATTATTAATATTCTTAGATACTCTCTGGATATCCAAAAGATGTACATTATTGGTCAATCAATATTTTCGTTTTATTTTCTTCCTTTTTTTAACAAATATATTTGGTCTCTCCATGTAAAAGTATAACGAAGACCGAAAAGAATCTATTTGTTTTTCTCAAATATTATTTTTTCTATAAATATTCAGATTATACTTATTTCGGGATTTATGTAATATCAATTGAACAGATGAGAGCATTATTAATGGGATGATTTTTCTAAAGGATACCTTATCAATTTAGTATTAATATACATCTGTTATGTAATTAAAATTTAAATATAAAAGACAAAAGTTAACTATAAGATGACACTGATAGTTCAAATCTTTTAAAATGTTTGAGAAATCTTTTTAGGGACATACGTTTCTATCATTCTCTTATTTTACTATATGGTGGTAATGTTATTTGTTAAAGTATCTCAGCTTAATATTTTCGGTTTTTATTCGCCTTTTCAAACTTATTTATTAAAAAAAAGTAGACTAGATAACTAAATTTATTAGTACATGTTTATTTTAAGAGAAAATAGTTTTTTTTAAGCCAAATAGGTTTAGACATTGTCCCTTTATGTTAAATTCATTAACTTATTGTCCCATTAGGCTAAATATTTTCTAAATGACAATAATGCCCTTAAAATCGAATTTTCTTTTTTTTATTAAAATCGAATTTTCCTCTTTTTCAAAAAAATCGAATTTTCCTTTTTTTTAAAAAAAAAATCGAAATTTCCTTTTTTAAATCGAATTTTCCTCTTTTTTTTTTTAAATCGAATTTTCCTTTTTTAAAAAAAATCGAATTTTCCTCTTTTTTTTTTAAATCGAATGTTCCTTTTTTTTTAAAAAAAAATGGAGTTTTAAATATGGTAATAGAATATTTTCTAAGATATTTTTGCTATATTTTCGGATCTAATAATATTTATCCGTAGAATTCATATTCTACTAAAGGTAGAACTGTGTAAAAAGATATAAAATCAGTTTCTACGTTTATTAGAACGTTGTGCGAATTTAGATTCTGACTTCTACTTGTCTTAGATTTAAGTACGAATTTAGATTTCAACTTCTACTCTTTTTAGAACTATATGATAAGCGTGGAATGTGTATTCCAAACTATTTTAGATTCATGTTATCTCCGTAGAAAACATATTCTGCAATTCGTAGAAATAGTGAAAAAAGTGGATTCCGTANTTAGATTTCAACTTCTACTCTTTTTAGAACTATATGATAAGCGTGGAATGTGTATTCCAAACTATTTTAGATTCATGTTATCTCCGTAGAAAACATATTCTGCAATTCGTAGAAATAGTGAAAAAAGTGGATTCCGTATTCTAATCCGTAGAATACATATTCTAATTTCGGTAGAATAGATATATGAAATTATTATTTATATATTTTTAAAACAAGAAAAAAATATCACTATATAGATATAGAGATTTCATTATGTACTATTTTTTAAAAAAAATTTGCTTCATAAATCTATTTTTTTTAATAATTTCGAAAATACATAAAGGGCATTAGAGTCAAAATTGGTACAAAATATAATTTAGCCTAAAGAGACAATATCCAAACCTATTTGGTCAAAAAAAAAAAAAAAAAACAGTTCCCCCTTATTTTAATTAGACAACAAAAATGATTTTTTTTTAAAATAAACTGAAAATAGGTGGTAGGGCAAAAACCAAAGAGAAGGCTGGGAGGAAAACGCAGAAAGGCTCCGTCACTCAGCCATTGTCATCTTACAGACACCCAAAGAAGAAGCGAAGAAGCAAAACATCATTACATAGAAAAAAGATGGAGAGAGCAACGATATCCCCAAGCCTTAGTCAAAACTACCTACTCTGTCCTCCACGCGCCTTCGCCACGCGCCTCCACTCCTTCTCTACTCCTCGGAAGAACTTATCGCTATCATCTTCCTCCTCCATCAAGGTCCATCTCTCTTCTCCCTTTTCCTCTATTATATCAATTTCTCGAAATTTGTTATCTTTATCATTTCTCTGATTATAATTCACAGCTTCAGCATTCTTCTTCGTCTTCCTCTATATTCTCCATCAATGGCGGAATCTCCCTTACTCGTTGCAACGCCGTCCTCTCCAATTCGTCCTCCAGGTTCTTTGGAATCACAATCATTTTAATTTCAAATTTGTTTTGCTAATTGATGATGATGATGATGATGATGAGATTGGGTTTTTATTATATGTTGAATTAATTAGTACGGAAGTAGCAGACATAGATTGGGACAACATCGGGTTTGGTCTTAAGCCGACTGATTACATGTACGTCATGAAATGCAACATCGATGGGGAGTTCACAAAGGGTGAATTGCAACGTTTTGGGAACATTGAAGTCAGCCCTTCTGCTGGTGTCCTCAACTATGGCCAGGTTTTTGTTTTTTCCTTCTCCTTTTCCCTAATTGAGTTTTAGGTTTTTGTGGGTCTGATTTTGTTTCCTAGTTTCTCAAAGTCCCTTTACTATGAAGGTGGAGCTTAACCTATGCTTAAGAATCTTGTCAGTAGTTAACATTGAAGTCAGATTCTTACACTGAAGCACAATCTGCCGATGAGTTTAGCCTCTTATTTTATGTTAGTTGCAGCTAGTGACGATTTCTACCATCAACCGAGCCTAACTTTTCTCCTTTTTTTGCACGGAAAAGTCGTCTTGTTTCTGCAATCAATGATAATGAGAGATGTGAAGCAAAGTGTTGTGGGAGTGTTTGTATTATATGAGTCTTACTAGTGTGTGTACTTATGTTTTGTAGGGATTGTTCGAAGGGATGAAAGCTTACAGAAAGCAAGACGGTAAGAATATCCTCCTCTTTCGTCCTGAAGAGAATGCAACACGTATGAGAAGTGGCGCTGAGAGGATGTGTATGCCTGCTCCTACCATTGACCAGTTCGTCGAAGCTGTGAAAGCAACTGTGTTAGCAAACAAACGTTGGGTAAAAGAATGATACGCAAATGAAGTTATCAAAAAAAAATCTGTTGGCTGTTATGAGTAACGTGCAAATTATCGATGTATTTCAGGTTCCACCTGCAGGTAAAGGTTCTCTATATATTAGACCATTGCTAATGGGAACTGGAGCTGTTCTTGGTCTTGCTCCTGCACCAGAATATACTTTCCTTGTCTATGTTTCTCCTGTTGGGAACTACTTCAAGGTTTTTCAAAACTACCTCTTTCCATAAAAGCCAACCTATGTTTGTTTTCTTAAATAATGATTCGTTTCATGTAATGATGTCAGGAAGGTGTGTCACCAATCAATTTGATTGTGGAAAATGAATTTCACCGTGCAACACCTGGTGGTACTGGAGGTGTTAAGACCATTGGCAATTACGCTGCAGTAAGTAAACCTGATTTCTTGAATATATTTATGGTCTTTGGACTGGTTTTTCTGCTTACTCATATATAATCCAACTTATAACATAGGTACTAAAAGCACAGTCGATTGCGAAATCTAAAGGATATTCAGATGTTTTGTACCTTGACTGCGTTTACAAAAGATATCTTGAAGAGGTCTCCTCTTGCAATATCTTCATTGTCAAGGTAAAAGTTCCAATGATGCCATGTAGATTCTTTAAGATGTCTCTCCCCTTATCAGTCTAAGTTCACAAGGCGCAAGAGAAATGATTTGGATATTAGCAAGCATCACAAGCTACTGATTCTCTTATAAAGAAACCTTTCTGACCATAAAACGGTTGCTTACTTACTGTCTTTGCCAGGACAATGTGATCTCTACTCCTGAAATTAAAGGAACCATCTTACCTGGGATTACGCGGAAAAGTATAATCGACGTGGCTCGTACCCAAGGGTTTAAGGTAATCTCTCCCTCTCTTTAAATTCTCAATTATTCTCACATCTTACCACAACTAGCTAGTGGTGACAGAGCATGTTTATTTGGTAATCATGCAGGTGGAGGAAAGGAATGTTACAGTGGACGAGTTACTAGAAGCGGACGAGGTTTTCTGCACAGGAACCGCTGTGGTTGTCTCTCCCGTTGGAAGCATTACACACAAAGGCAAAAGGTACAAACAAGCTATAAAATGTGCTTTTATTGTATTTCACAAGAGCTTTTTTCATCCTCTATAATACACACACGCAGAGTATCTTATGGAGAAGGTAGCTTTGGACCTGTCTCGAAGCAACTCTACACTGTTCTGACAAGCTTGCAGATGGGTCTAAGCGAGGACAACATGAACTGGACTGTCAATCTGAATTAAAAAAAAAACTCTACACCTGTGTTTTCGGTTTTATTTCCTTCTCATATAAGTCTGTGAATCTTATTCGTAAAACTACAAGTTAAATTGTTTTAAAACTTTGGTCGATCTTAAAAGTTAACATCTTACAACTTAGCTGCATCAAGATCAGTAGATGTTGTTATCCTTTATGTTTGTTTGAAGCCTGATATAAATACAAATACTATCCGGTTTCTTTCATAATGTTTGACATTGTCCAAACCGGCTGGCTCTTCTGCTTTATGTTTGTTATGATCTGTTCTGTTTTTTTTTTTACAGAAATAGAAGGAAAGTGGAACTTTGTGAACCAATTAATTACATAAGCACTGTTTCTGCTGCATCTTTTCTGTTCTGGTAGCTAATATATCATTCACATCCCTTCATGTTGATCTGTATTGACACTTTCTGTATGTCTAAATATGGTTTTCCAAGTTCGTTTGCCTCTTGTGATGGTTTCAATGTCATTTGTTTAACAGGTTTCTCAACAATCATTCATACGAATTAGTTCTGTAACTATGTTACTAGTAATGAAAAACAACACAACTCAAAAAGTGATACAAATAGCAACTAGAAGACTTCAATTAATCTACAAATTATCATATTAGACTATATACTAACAGTTAGAAACAGAAGCCCAAGTCATACATGTAGCAGTTACAATACTTACGACAAAACATAACACAAAATTGTTCCAAACAGTTGAAAGAAGAACATTAAACATCATTGAGTTTCTCCTCTTCGACCTTCCTCATAGCAGAACAAAGGGATGGTTCTTGAGTGAATGAGCAGACCACCTCTTGTTAATATCTCTCTCCAAGCATCTACTCAAGAAATCTAATGCATCTTTAGACAACCAAGCGGGTACATGAGGCATACGATCGCTGTGGCCAATGAGATTGACCCAATCATCAAAAGCAAGATCACCATACTCTCCCCAAACTGTTTTTCCGGATAACATCTCCAAGACTGTGCATCCCAAGGCCCACACATCTGCTCCAAAGTCCAAAACCCCATGCCCAATAAGCTCTGGAGCCATATACCTCGTGGTGCCTCTCTTGTGGCCGTATCCGTTACCATACTCTAGCGACCCTTTCTCCATAGCTAATCCAAAATCACCAATCTTGGTCAAGTAGCCTGTAGACCTGAAGCGTTGATCAGTAGGAGAGAGTAAGAGGTTGTCGGGTTTGATGTCGCAGTGAATAATGTTTCTGTCGTGGATGTAAGTGAGACCAGACAAGACATCTCTAGTGAAGACTTTGGCCTCACACTCAAGCAACTCCCCGTGATTATCCTCAATCAAATCAGCAATGGTTCTGCCAGAGCAATACTCGAGAATCAGATTGTATTGCATACAGTTGTTGTCCTCCTCGCGTGCGATCTCGTCGCCGAAGCAATGGACAATGAAAGGAGATTGTAAACGGACAAGAATCCTGCCTTCGTCCATGAGAGTAGAAGCGTGAGAAAGTTTAGCAGTTTTGATGGCTCGTTCACCTGTAGGGTGTGTCTTGCTTCTACTAGTACCAAGATAAACCGAACCATACGCTCCTCTTCCGAGTAAGAGAGATTTAACCCACGAGGAGGACGAATTGGTTCTACCTCCTTTTTCTAGGGTTACGTTGTGGGAGGAAGGTTTCTTCACAAGATTGGATATCTCTTTGAGAGAGATAATACGATTCTTCTTCTTCGTGTGCTTCATTAAGTTGGAGTTTCTAACCCTCAGAGTAATCGTAGCCATCTTCTGTGGAGAAGGAGACTTAGCGAGTAGAGAATGGAAAGTGATGAAAACTAAACGAAAGCGGGAGTGAGTTGGGTGGGACTCAAGTTTTCCCTATTCTTTTTATGCTCTTCTATTTCCTTTTTTGCGATTAGGGTAAAACCTGAACCGTGTACTTTTTTTAAACAACAAACTGAACCGTGTACTATACGTGTGATTTTGTTTAGACTTCGTATCAGGGTTATTATTATTAACTTTTATTATGTGTTTGGACCTTTGGACCATAATTTTAATGGGCCTTGTCTCATTCAAGAAATAGTCAATCTGTGTCTGAGAGTCGTCGTCACTCGGGATCTGAATCTATATGTCGATCTAGGGTTTTAGCTATGGAGGAGATTTGGGATCGAGAAACTGGAGGATCGAATCTTTGGAGAAAGATACTTTTTTATTTTGTTTATTCAATTAGCTTCGCGGCCTAAGATGGTTTCATGGATTAAGTGTCTGTATGTATGGGGGTGAGTAGGCACAATTATGCACTACTCCACCCATACCATACAGACCCTAAATCCTGAATCCAAAGCTGACTGAGAGAGAGAGGGACTCCTCCTTTACTTTGTTTGTTTGTTACCCTTAATCATACAAGTTGACCAGAACTCTTATTTGGTATGTCTCTCTCTCTCTCTCTCTCTCTCTCTCTCTCTCTCTCTCTCTCTCTCTCTATCTTTTGTTTCACATTTTCAAATAATCCTTTTGATTAATTTTAAAAGCCAATTTTGTGAAAATCATTTTGATGTGAGTATTTGGATGTTTTGTTGTCATCCCGTAGGATCAAAATTTCAATTTTCTGTGAATGTAAGGAACAACATAAACATCATGACTCTATAATGTAGCTTTAAAATTCCGTGTTAATTAGAAACGCAGTGCTGCAGATATATGATCTCTTAACTTCTAGTATTATATCTGTTAGAACTAGGACAAGGATTGTTCTGGTTTAGGACTTTAGCAAGTTACACTTCTTGGTCTTTCTTGGATCCTGTTACTGATCATAATAGTTTCTTACGAGATTTGTGTAATGCATCTTGCATTTGGAGTAGTTGTTCGTTATGCTCTACTTGTTCAAGATTCATATTATTAATTCACTTTACAAGTTTATTATGCATGGTGACATGTTCTGAGTAACATTGTCTTCTTTCTAGATCATGACTCTTTGCTATATTGATGTAGAGAATGCTGTTATTTGATTATTGCTTAACCATCTGTCTATTAGGATAAGAAAAGAAGGTTTTTTTGGTACGCATTGGATCTGGTTGGCAAATTACTACGCGCCACTGCTCATGAATCTTTGACATTGTGCCCTACTTCCTTTCTCTTTTCTGGACCCTGATTTATTTGCTACATCTTGAGCCATTTGCCGATGGTGATTCGAGTATCTTTCTTTTGCATTTTCAGCAATCCTTCCTTTATTATACTTTTACTATATGCATAGGTTGACTATTTGGATCTCTGGTGTATGCTTTACAATCACAATTACAATCTGTGCAGGCTTGTATTGAAATGGAGTTTTGCTCACGCATATTTCATGACCAACTAAGCGCCAAGAAGCACCTTCGTGGAGACGCTACAAAATCCTCTTCTTAGCCACATAGCGATTCTACAAGGTTGATGAGTCAAGCCCTCACATCTGAAGATTTCAGCTGTTTCAAGGCTCAAATGATCAGCCACTGGTAACTACATCCATGAATATTTCAAGACTCTTGAAGGTGGTTTCCCTGAAATTCAGATTGGCATTTAGTAACGCTATGTAATATATAGCCTCCTTTTCTCTGGATCATTTTAAATATGTGATTGTACTTTGGATTGTGAGTTTTGTCTTGTTTGATACACTGAAAGAAACACAAAGTGGGATAGAAACAAACAAGACTTATACACTCTGGAAACTAAGATACTAGCTGATTACTACACGTGAGATTGTAACATTGACTTAGGCTGTTCTTTTTGTGTTCATCAAAACAAAACTATTACAACCGTTGGGTTTTTTCATGTACTTATATATATATGTGTGTCTCAGACACATGAGACTATTACAAAGGCTTAGGCTGTTCTATTTATGTTCATCAGAGTCTTTAGATTTTATTATGTACTTATAAACAGATTTTTGAATGAATCTTAGTTAACCTTACCATGGTGAGCAACTGTGTTGGAAACAGAAAGGAAACTGATCATTTGGAAAGGAAGGCACCATACTTTTTATCTGCATCCATCTGCCCTATAGAACCCAAGGAGCATTCCCATGATGGATAAGCCAGATTTGGGTAACTTGAGCAATAGCTTTTTGCTGAGTATATGTCTTTAACTGGTATGATTATGTTTACTGCAGCGTTTTGATTTTCTTTTCTGGATAAACATCTACTGATGACTTCGCCTGAAAAGGCAGGTACAACCATTAAGACAATGGTGAGAATGCATTAGTTGCTGAAAATGGTTATTTCCTTATGCTTAATCATCATGCTTCACTTCTCCGTCCACTTGCGGAAATCAAAACCTTAGGTATTAAGTGCACTGTTGATGGCGTTGAAACTAAATGTAAAACCCTTCAACGACCACCTCTTGGGTTATTATCAAAACCATAGGTATTACGTGCACTGTTGATGGCTTTGAAACTAAATGTAAAACCCTTCAACGACCACCTCTTGGGTTATAGTCTCTCGTTGCTTGAGTTTATCGATTTACACTAGCTAGTAATGGATCAAGCATTAAATCTGTACGTTATATTCTCTTTGTCTCTGTCTCCATCTTCATCGGTTCATCTACTTATACCAGGTTTGGAAGAATCACCGGCAAATATCTTGGTTCTTTGGTCCGGTTCCTTAGTCTTTCTTGTACCAACACATTCTCTATACTCGAGTCTTGGAAACTTGGGTTTTACACGTTTTACACAAGATATTTATCTTGATCAGGCTGTTTATCTATGGGAGACGTTAACTACTCTTAAAGTTTTATAGAAACACGAGTATATGACTATACTTTTTTAGTCAGAACGAATACCACCCCATGAACCTCCTCGGATCTAGACAATTACTCGTGAACTTAGCCTGTGAAAAGTGGGTTCTACAGAAAACGACAGAGACAAAAACTATATATCCTTCTTACACGGTTTCGATTGATTAGTGATAAAAGTTCATAGAAGATGTAATACTTGTCTACAAACAGTTAATAAATATTACACCATAAAAATTTAATAAATAACCAGTAAGAAATAAAAGGGAAAAGTCCAAGAATTACATAATTTTCATATGCTGGTTTTCTGTTTATTCTTTTTGTTTTGAAACACTGGTTTTCTGTTTAATTTATAACTTTATTTTTTCATACTCACATTTAATAATCAAAAGTCTTACATTACAAAACTAACGACCTTGATCCATTAAACGAAATCTTTAAAATACTATATACCCTGCACTTTGTTTGTTTGGTTATTACCTTCATCATACAAGTTGACCATCACACATGAACTCTTACTTGGTATGTTTCTCTCTTTGTATCTTCTGTTTCACATTTTCTGAGTGATCCTTTTGATTAATTTTATAAGCCAATTTTAGTGAAAATTAGTTTGGTCGATTTGATGTTGGGCTGGTGAGTGTTCGGATGTTTTGTCATTCGGTAGGATCAAAATTTCAATTTCTATGAAAATACTTTGATGGAATGAAGGAACAACATAAACATTATGATCTATCAATAGACATAACTAGTGTTGAAGCCTAAATCAAGGAATGGGTAATTAGAAAACTTAGTTGAGTGTTTATGTGGGATTAGAGAGGGGGAAGTTTCGTTTATTGAAGTGTAATGTGAACCGAAAATAAATAAATAAACACGTTTTCAATGAAGAAACTAGAATAAGAGGTTATTGATATTTTCTCTCTCTAAGTTCTTCTGTCTCTCCTCCCTTTTACATTGAATGCTCTCTTTATTTATATTCGTTCGGGACTCAATCTTCTGTTTCGTAGCAGATACGTGTCAGGGAATTGATTCGGCACTCATCATCACACTATTGTTTGTGCAGGTTTCCCGTCTATTATCGGCAGTCGGTCGGTCTACATCCTAGGTCTCCGTATTTTTAGTACCAAACAAAAATAATTGTTTGTTGTAAGCACTTCTATGTAGACCATCTCAATTTGATATTTTAGAAAACCCAACAAATAATAAAAATTAGTGTTTTAAATGTTGAAATTTGTAATGATTATTAGAATTTTCAAATATAATGTTATTGGTTTATAGATTCTCACATTTTTATTAAAATTTAGTGTTATTGATTTGATGATTTTATAATTCTATGCACAATCTTTATTATTCAAAAAAAAAATTAGATTTTAATGATTTTAATTTATTAAAATAAATGTTATTAGACATTGTATTCTTAACCTTATAACACAAAACAAAATATTGAGAATATTAAGAAGGTGTTATTGGTTTGTATATTTTAGTGGATTTGACAATACAAATCAAAAGTATATTCCTTGGATTCTCAAAATTTTGAGAATAAAAACCTGTAATAGCCGGATGGAAGGTGGAGCCACGGACAAGCAATATATATAGTATTCTTTGTTCAAATTTGACATGTTAATATGTTTCTTTCTTTCGTTTCCTAAAATTAAAGAATATAATAATAAGGATTCGGACACATATCAAACGAATAACCGATGCGGAAGATTATTCTATATCTCTATCTATATATGCATGTGAAGCTACGATTCTTTTTTTTTTTGAACTAAGCTTGTGAAGCTACGATTTCGATCTATCATTATACAAACAACCGACCAGTTTCCTGATTGTTATAGATATTTGTGATCTAAATCTTATCGAGACCAACTCACAAATCTCAGAATCTAATAATTTATTTCTTGAGTCATACCAAATATATGGTCGATGTCGATGTCGATGTCGATGTTAAAGACGACATTCTTTCTTGAGTCATACCATATATATGGTCGATGATAAAGAGGACAAGTAGTGGATGGGTAGAATGCAACTAAGAACATCACTGATTGCAAAATTCTCTAAATATACGAATATCAAACAAAATTATCAAATAATTTGTATGTGTCTGTTATTTTGTACATGGAGTATACCATATGCTATACA